GTAGGGAGGGGAAGAAGGAAATGATAACTTAGGACAGTGCTCAGGTCCGAGAAGGATTCATGGGATGAGGTGAGTGAGGATGAGGATGATGAGGCTGAGAGGAGGAGGAGGCAGGAGGACGGCTGACGAGTGCAATGAGGCGGAATGTACTGCCCTAAACAGTCAATAGGTAGGGAGGAGGTGATGCTTCGACGCGGCTAAAGGCGTGGTGGTAGTGAGTAGTGATTGCGGAGGGAGGAGGGAGGAGGGATGAGGGAGAAGGGAGAAGGGAGGAGGAGGGAGGGCGGTACTTCCTCGGCGTCTCAGGTTTGGCCCGCGATCGCCTTGTTCACTGGCGTGCCTGCGCGTGCTGCGCCCTGACTCAAGGACGCCCCAGACCTGGGGCCCATTTCTGCGTCAGGCACACTCTCGCCCGATGGGACTGTGGTTTTTATGTGTTGTAGCTTAAAGCATGGTCTGCCTGTTGTGTTGATGCTGCTTCGCCGCGGTGAACAAGGGGCGAAGAGGTCCTAGCAGGGCGACCGGAACTCAAGGAGCGAGCACATAGCTTCGGCAACTGCCTGATCAGACGCCGTAGTAGCGAGCACATCGCTGTGGTCACCGCCTCTCAAAAAAAACATCGTCTCGACAAAACCCCGACCGTCTTCGCAACACTGCTGATTTCCAGCGGCACCTGGCCTGGCACATTTATTTACGTGGCAGCGTTGCCTAAAACCTGGAGCCTCTTTTTTCCGAGGAACGCCCCAGATCGGATCGCTTGGTCAGCCAACGGTGTCAATCACTGCTCTCGCAAGCTTGGTGGAGGAGAATCGTCGCTGCAGCCTCCAGCCCACCGATTTGGATTTCCATCTCAAACGCAAATTTGGCACCACTGTGGCCTCTTTAAATCCGATTCGGAACTCTCGACGTTTCCGTGCGCAGCGGTACTCGCCAGACTTCCCAACGTCGGGTCAGGGAGGGAGGAGGCAGGAGGGAAGCAGCAGGAGAAAGAGGAGGAGGAGCAGCAGCAGCAACAGGAGGAGGAGGAGAAGGAGGAGAAGGAGGAGGAGGAGCAGCAGCAGCAGCAGAAGCAGAAGGAGGAGCAGCAGCAGCAACAGGAGGAGGAAGAGGAGGAGGAGCAGCAGCAGCAACAGGAGGAGGAGGAGAAGGAGGAGGAGCAGAAGGAGGAGCAGCAGCAGCAGCAACAGTAGCAGAAGGAGGAGGAGGAGCAGCAGCAGGAGCAGAAGGAGGAGAAGGAGCAGAAGGAGGAGGAGGAGGAGAAGGAGGAGAAGGAGGAGGAGAAGAAGGAGAAGGAGCAGAAGGAGGAGGAGGAACCAAACGCTCCGATTTTTTATATATAAAAAAGGCGCTCCGAAATTTATATATTAAAAATACTTTAAAAACATGTCGATGTTTAATGCCTCCAGGGCCCCAGACACCGCAGACCAAGCCAGCAGGATCGCCGAAACCTCCTGGGCCTCCGAAAAAAAATAAAAAGTATAAAAAATAGCATGTGTAACATGTTCAAGCGTTCCGAAAAATGATAATCTTTAAAAAAAATAACAATGATTAATGCTTCCAGGGCCCCAGGCACCGCAGACCAAGCCAGCAGGATCGCCGAAACCTCCTGGGCCTCCGAGGAATTAAAAGTTTTAAAATTCTGAAGATGCTTAAAATTTTCAGGCGCTCCGAAATTATTGTTTTTAAAGAAAAACTTCAAAATTTTGACAGTATGTAATGCTTCCAGGGCCCCAGGCACCGCAGGCCAAGCCAGCAGGATCGCCGAAACCTCCTGGGCTTCCGAAAAAAATAAAAAGTTTAAAATGTTTAACAGTTGTAACATTTTCAAGCGTTCCGAAAAATCTTAATCTTAAAAAAAGTTTAACCAAAAAATGCAAGTTATACAATGTTGATCTTTCCAGGGCCCCAGGCGCCGCAGACCAAGCCAGCAGGATCGCCGAACTTCAAAACAATCAAGTTGACAAAGCGAGGAGGAGCAGGAAGCGGAGGATGACGAAGAGGAGGAGGAGGAAGAGGAGGAAAGGGACGGAAGAGAGGACGGAGGAGGAGGAGGAGGAAGAGGAGGATGAGGAGGAACGGCAGGAGGGAGGAGGGAGGAAGGAGGAGGAGGAGGACGAGGACAATGAGGAAGAGAAGGGGGGGCGGAATGAAATTGGATACCCGTACCCCGTCATGCTCCCACCCCCTGTCTGGTATGTGGTTGTGGTCGTCCGTACCGCTCCCTCCCTCCCTCCCTCCCTCCCTCCCTCCCTCCCCCTCCTCCCTCCTCCCTGCCTCCCCTCTCCCTCCTCCCTTCCTCCTCCTCTCCCTCTCCCCTCCTTCCCCCTCCTCTCTTCCTCCTCCTCTCACCTCCTCTCTCCTCCTCCTCTCCTCCTCCTCCTCCTCCTCCTTCGACTCCTCCTCCTCCTCCTCCTCCTCCTCCTCCTCCTCATCTCTCGCCTCCTCCTCCTCCTCCCCTCCTCCTCCTCCTGATCCTCCTCCCCCCTTCCGAGGTCTGCCAGGACCGTCAGCCAGACCGAGGCCCGTGGTTCACTGCACCGACCTTGCAGAGTTCTGGGCCATGCAGAACCCCCCCCCCCCCCCCCCGTGTGAAACGGCGAGCGCTGAACGAAGTGAATTTCACGTGGATGTCTTGTAGTCTTCCTTCCTGGCAAAACAAAGAATCGCACGAGATTCACTTCGAAATCCGGAGCGAGATTCTCCAGCACGATCCGGGCCCGTCCCAGTGCTATCCTAACGAAATCCGGTCTGCGATGTTGGCGCCAAGATCCGTGCGGTTTCGCCGGTGTCGTGGTGCCCGCAGGTCGCTGACGTTGACGGCGCCGTAGGACGAGGATACATCCGTTCCAGAGCGCTCCGGTCTCAGAGCGTGCTGGAACGCTCTGAGAAGTCCGCGGCGCTCGATACATCCTCCGGAAACGCCAGATCTCAGGGATTCTCGATTTATCCTCACCCGACTTGATCCTCGTCCTGGCATCGTCGCACCTGCGCAAAATCCTTCCACAGCGGGGTGCCATTGTGGGTGTCGGGGTCACCTGACGTTGGCGGCACCGTGTCGTGTGGCATTTGGCGACGCTTGGGCCCGTCGTGGTGTAGGTAAGCGACGATCAGAAACGGATCTCACGCGATACGACATGGCGACCTCGCGCGGCGGCTTACGCGGGCCGCCGGCGCGGCACGAAGCATGAGAGACGAGGGTGCTTACGCGCGACCCGACGCGGGCAGCTTGCGCGCCAATGTCGGCGAAGACGGCCTCGTGATTTGGCGCCGCTCAGGTGGGCGTCGGGGTCGCCTGACGTCGACGGCACCGTATCGTGTGGCATCTGGCGACGTTTGGGCCCATGCTGTGCAGGAAGACTCGCACGTCGTCGCCCCCTCGCTGCTGCTGTCCGCCAGGGTGCCGCCCACCCTGTCGAGTGGTGCTCCAGCTGGGGTTCCAGTTCAATGCTTTTCGTCCCCAACAGCCCCTCGGATGTCGGGATACCTGGGCAGCCAGCCCATCGCCATACCATCTGGCTGCATCGGCGGCGTCGACGTGAAGCGAATCGGTCTCCACACCGAGCCGCATCGTCGATGCATCGGCGGTGCGGCACGATCCCCCGACCCCATCTGCTCGGACCCCATGTGCTGCTCGGACCCCATACAGGAGGCCCAGGCTCCTCCCTTCCCTCCTTTTCTCCCTCCTCGTTCGCTCCTCGACTACACGCAAGAGTGACCCTGGGTAAGGGTGACCTCTGGTGCGCAGCTTTTGGGGGACCGCGGGGGGACCAGACACAAACGCGCAAGACGCTGCTCTTGCATCGCGTTTGGCGACCGGGGGAACCCATTTGGCCCGCACCAAAGGTCACTCTGGCGAAAGGTCACTCTTACGTCTAGTCGAGCTCCTCCCTCCCTTCCCTCCTTCCCTCCGCGCCCTCGCCCCGCGCGGCCCTCGCCCTTTGCCGCGTCGCCGCCCGTGGGGGGCCCGGGCACCACTCGACAGGGTGGGCGGCACCGTGGCGGACAGCAGCAGCGATGGGGCGACGACGAGCAGGTCTTCCTGCTCACCATGGGCCCGCACGTCGCCGGATGCCACACGGCACGGTGCCGTCGACGTCAGGCGACCCCGACGCCCACCTGAGCGGCGCCAAATCAGGGGGCCGTCTTCGCCGACATTGGCGCGCAAGCTGCCCGCGTGAGGGAGAGCGCCCTCGTCTCCAGCGTGGCCTGCCGCGCTGGCGGCCCGTGCAGGCCGCACCCCGGAAGAGCGCGATTCGCTATGCCATCTCGCTCACGCGCGACCCGACGCGGGCAGCTTGCGCGCCAATGCCTGCGAAGATGGCCCTGTGATTTTGCGTCGGAGGAGGAGGACGAGGAGGAGGGCGAGGACGAGGACGAGGACGAGGACGAGGAGGAGGAGGACGAGGAGAATTAGGAGGAGGAGGACGACGAGGAGAGGGAGAACGAGGAGGAAGAGGAGGAGGAGGAGGATGGAGGATGGAGGATGGGGAGCTAGGCGCCGCCCTCCTCGCCGCTGTCGGCGCCGCCCTTCTGGCGCCGCTCTGCCCCGCCCCCCCTCGGCGCCCCAAGGGCCGAGGCCGGGCCTTTGGGCTTGGCGTGGCCGCAGAGGCGGCCAGGTGGGCTCTCTCAAGGCCCTCGAGGTCGGATCCTCCTGCAAAGTCGGAGCACGACCCTGCGGAGGCTCGCTGGATCGCTTGTCGACCCGAGCCCTGCGCGCGTGGGCCATCGGCGACCGTCAGGCCGAAGGCTCTGCCCCCCGACATTCCTCCCCCCCATCTTCCTGCCTCGCTCCTGGCTTCTGGCGGGTGCGCGCGGGCCTAAGGGGGGGAGCCGGGTGGCGCACACCCCTCCGCCGCGCGGGAGGGAGGGAGGGAGGGAGGGCGGGGGAGAGGGAGGGAGAGAGGGAGGGAGGGAGGGAGGGGAGGATGCGAGAGAGAGAGAGAGAGCGAGGGAGGGAGGGGAGGAAGGATGGAAGGAGGAGCGGGCGCTGGGGCGCGGGCGATGTCGAGGTACGGGGCGATGGGCCCTGGGCTCGAGGACTCGACCTGCGCGCTGGGGTGTGTGTGGGGGGGGGGAGGGGCGGCGGACGGACGCCGATACCCGTCCAGGACCTACCCGTCCCAGGAGGACGGCCCAAGAAATCCTCTCCCTCCTCCTCCTCATCCTCCTCCTCTCCTCCTCCTCCTCCTCCATCCTCCTCCTCCTCCTCCTCCCCCCCTCTCCTCCTCCTCCTCTTCCTCCTCCTCCTCCTCCTCGCCCTCCTCCTTCCCCCCGACCCCCCTTCTCCTTCCTCTCTCCTCCTTCCTCCTTCCTCCTTCCTCTTCCTCCTCCTTCTCCTCATCCTCCTCCTTCCTCTTCCTTGTTCCTCCCTCCTCCCTCCCCCCTTCATCAGAGGAGGAGGGCACGCCTCCACCGCCTGGTCCACGCGCCTCACGTGCAGGGAGCCCGCATCCTGGCACCCCGGGCGTCTCGCGCCGAGGGGCACGCGCAGCGGTGGGCGAACGGGCGCTGGGGGACAGGGGCCAGGGACGGGGAAGGATCCTCCTCCTCCTCGACCTCCTCCTCCTCCTCCTCCTCCTCCTCCTCCTCCTCCTCCTCCTCCTCTTCCAGCAGGGAGCGAGGGAGAGGGGGGAGGGAGGAGGACGACGACGCTGGAGGATGACTTCATGCCTCGCCCGCGAGCCATGCGAAGCGCTAGGGTATCTACGCCACAATGTAGAACAAGGGGGACCCCGAAATACACGTCGAACGCAACCACCTTCACATCGAAACCCTGCAAATTATGGGAAACGCAATTTTCCGTTTTAAAAGTTATCCCAGTGCGACCCTACCTAGGAGTTGGAGCCTCTAGGAAAGCAACATTAGCTATGATATGTTATGATATGCTATGCTACGATATGCTATGCTATGCTATGCTATGCTGCGCAATGCTATGCTGGGCTAGGCTAGGCTAGGCTAGGATATGCTATGCTATGCTATGCTGCGCTATGCTATGCTATGCTATGATATGCTATGTGTTTGCTTTGCCTTCGCTTTTGTCTTCACTGTCGCCTTCGCTTTTGCTTCTGCTTGGCACCCAGGGAGAGCAACTGGGGGAACCGCGCGTTTGCTTTTACCCCTGCTGTTGCCGCTGCCCGGCTCCCAGGGGACTGGGGGAACCGCCCGGGGCGATTTACGCTGCCCGGCCCTTTAAGCCAAGCGAGTAAGAACCCTTCTAGGCAGAGCCTAGGTAGGGAAAAACACGTACTGGATGAGCCGGAATTGCGTCTCCCATAATATTTAATTACGGGAAACGCAATCCCGGGCGACTGCCCAGGGCGGGAGGTGCGTGGGATGCGTCTGAACGTGCCAGTGGAAATGCCCCCGGGGTGTGCCACGTAGCACGGGCACGCGTCAGTCGGGGCCCGACGCGCCACGGATAACCACTCCAGGGCGCGCAGCGGATCATCGCGGGGCGTGGTGCGCCCGAAGAGCTCGCCCTCTCACGGGAGACGCTCTTCCTGGAGGAAGACGTGGCGCACTGCAGATTCTTGCCCTGGGCCGGTCTGAGCCTGCAGAAGTCGCAGGCAAGCCAGGGCCAGGCAGTCACCCAACGTTACAGCCAATGCCACGCTGCCAGTTCGTGATCCACACCTCAAGCGATGCACACTCGCTCTTGCCGAAGGATCAAGATCGGGCGAAGGGGGTCTCCGCGGTTGCAGCTCTGGCACCCCTTCGAGCTCGCCCGGAACAGCTCGCGACAGCATCCCTGCATGAAGTAATACCATTGGCACTGTCGTCTTGGTGCGTTCAGCGAGCAGCCGCGGCAAGCGCGCCGCCTCACAGTCGTCGCAGGGCTTCTGCTGGCAGCCACGCGCCCAGGCTGCCGCGCCAGGTCCGCCGCAGAAGAGAGGCGCGGAGCTGCGAAGCCGCGCGGTCCGCGTGCGCGCGGAGGGCGCTCCGGCAGGACCCTGGGAGTCTCACGGCGGCGCCGTCGCACATGAGCGACGTCGGATCGCATCCTGGAACTTGCGCCCCGGGCTCTCCAACAAAGTCTCTCAGGATTTGATCCTCGACCGTTGGCCGTGAAAAGTGCAGGCGCGATGCTTCAGGATCATCATCAGCATCAGCATCACCATCATCATCAGCATCCTCGTCCTCATCATCCTCATCATCATCATCATCATCATCATCATCATCATCATCATCATCATCATCATCATCATCATCATCATCATCATCATCATCGTCGTCATCATCATCATCATCATCATCATCATCATCATCATCATCATCATCATCTTCATCATCATCATCATCATCATCATCATCAGCAGCATCATCATCATCATCATCATCATCATTTCATCATCATCATCATCATCATCATCATAATCATCATCATCATCATCAATCATCATCATCTCATCATCATCATCAGCATCATCATCATATCATCATCCTCCATCATCATCATCATCATCTATCATCATCATCATCATCATCAATCATCATCATCATCAATCATCATCATTCTCATCATCATCATCATCATTCATCTCTCAGCAGCAAGCAGCAGCAGCATCATCATCATCATCATCATCATAAATCATCATTTTCATCATCATCATCATCATCATCATCATCATCATCATCATCATCAGCATCACCATCATCATCATCATCATCATCATCATCATCATAATCCTCATCCTCGTCCTCATCATCACTATCGTCACCATCAACACCATCGTCATCATCATCGTTACTACCACCACCGTCATCGTTATCAGCATCGCCACCATCATCCTCAGCATCATCAGCAGCATCAGCATCATTACTACTATCGTCATCATCATCATCATCATCCTCATCATCATCACCATCATCATCCTCATCATCATCATCATCATCATCATCATCATCATCATCATCATCGTCATCATCATCATCATCAGCATCATCATCATCTGCCCCTTCTCCTCCTCCTCCTCCTCCTCCTCCTCATCCTCCTCCTCGTGCCTCCCGCTTTCCGCAAGCTGCGGCCCCTGCGAGGTCCTCCTTTGCGTATATCCCCACCGTTTCCAGCCCAGCCTCCTGGCACCCTCGCGCGATCCTCGGCGCGGGTGGGACGGCTGGTAGAGCAAAGATTCTGGACAAGTTGGACGCGTTCGGTTCGTTCCCCCCTCCTCCTCCTCATCCTCATCATCATCATCATCACCATCATCATCATCAACGCCATCGTCATTATCATCATCATCATCATCATCATCATCATCATCATCAGTATCAGCATCATCATCATCATCATCAGCATCATCATCATCATCATCATCATCATCAGCATCATCATCATCATGATCATCGTCAGCCACGTGTTCCTTCTCCTCCCACTATTTCCCAGGTGTTCTCCTCCTCCTCCTCCTCCTCCTCCTCCTCCTCCTCCTCCTCTTCGTTGCGTCTCCCTTAAAGATAACTCCTCCCTGTCGAACCCACAGACTTGTCAGCAGGGGGACGGGCGCTCCGCTTGGGACTTCACAACCGCCTATGATCCTGAGGCTTGAGGTGTGCTACGTACAAGTTCACTGCTGGGGTGGGTCGTTGTTTTCTCGACAAACAACTCCTCCCACGCGGTGACAGTGGCAGCATAGCCGATTCCCTCGCAGAAGCTCTGGCCTCAGCGCAGTGCAAATTCCTCGCAAAAGCTTGTAGCAGTTGTGGGGATATAGAGCACAGGTCGTTTTAACAATGGAGCTATCGCTTGGGTGCCGCGTACGATCGCCCTAAAAGCTTGCAGCAGCTAATGAGATGGAGGGCGGTTTCATTTCAAAATGGGGCTCTCGCCAAAGCGCCGCACCCCCCCCTTTTTCCAATGACATGTGCTTGCTTGCTCTTGCGTGCTTGCTCTCGCTTGCTTGCTCTTGCTTGCCCTTGCTTGCTTGCACTTGATCGCTGACTCTTGCTTGCCTGTTATTACTCGCTTGCGCTTGCTCGCTTCCGCTTGCTTGCTTGCTTGCGCTTGCTTGATGTTGCTCCTCCCGTCCTCCTCCCGTCCTGCTCCCGTCCTCCTTTCGTCCTCCTCCCATCCTCCTCTCGTCCTCCTCCTGTTCTCCTATATGTTTGGGGTCAACGCTGGCTGCTATTTTCCAGGGCCGACACCTTCACCCCTGCATCACGACCCGCGGATTAAAGAATCCCCCCCTGAAGTTACCCCCTCGGCGCTCTATTCGGCCTCCAAACGGCCAAGATGGCCTCCAAGACGGCTTTCAAGACAGCGAAGACGACAAGAAGAACGGCTCCAGAAGGCCCTAGATAGCTCAAGAGCTTCTCAAGACAGCCTGAAGACGGCTCAAGGGGCTCCCAAAAGGGCATCAGGACGGCCCAAGAGCCCGGGCCCCAAGCCGGCCCAAGAGGACCCAAAGAGCGCCCAGCTCTTAAGAGGGCCCCCAGGCAGGCTGTAAGCGCTCCAAGAGAGCAACAAGACGGCCCAGAGAGGCATCTTGGGCTGTCTTGGGCGGTCCGAAACCCAAACTTGCCAGAACCTCAAACTCCTTCGAAGACCTTAGGAAAATCCATGGATTTGGTCTGCTCGGGCTCTCCTGGAGGGTCTCTTGGAGACCCCTTGGGCCGTCTTGGGGGCCTCTTGATCTGTCCTGAAGCCTTCTTGGGAGCCCCATTGCTTCCAGGACGGCTTTCGAGGCAGCCAAGATGACACCAAGATGGCCCAAGACGGCTCAAGAGGCTCCCAAGACAGCCTCAAGACTAATCGAAGAGCCCCCAAGACGGCCCGAGAGAGTTCGAAGAGGCCTCCTACAGAGCTCAAGGAAGCCAAAACCATTGATGTTCCGTAGGCTCTTGAAGAGTTGTGATATTCTCGCATGTTCGGGTTTCCGACCGCCCAGGACGGCCCAAGAAGCCTCCAAGAGGCCTCCAAAATAGCCCTTTAGGCAGTCTAAGAGACCCCCAAAAACGGCCTCAAGTCGGCACAAAGTGGTCCCAAAATCACCCGAAAGGCTCCCGAGAGGGCCCCAAGACGGCCGTGAACCGCTCCAAGAGGGCACCGACACGGCCTAGAGAGGCCCCCAAGGCGACATCCATAGGCGTCCGACGGGCCAAGAGCTTCCTAGGACGGCCCAAGAGGCCCCAAGAGGCCACCAAGAGGCCCCATGGGGCCCCCAAGAGGCCCCGAAGAAGTGTTTACGTAGGACGACGTAGGACGCTCCCACGAGGCCCCCAGGAGGCCCCCAGAAAGCCGCAAGAAGCTCCTTCTCCTCATCCTCTTCCTCCTCCTCCTCCTCCTCCTCCTCCTCCTCCTCCTCCTCCTCTTCCTCCTTCTCCTCCTCCTCCTCTTCCTCCTCCTCCTCCTCTTCCACCTTCTCCTTTTGCTCCTCCTCCACCACCTCCTCCTCCTCCTCCTCTTCCTCCTCCGCCTCCCCTACCGCGCGGACGCAGACGAGGTCGGGATCACGACCCGTCTCAATGCGAACTACTCGTCGGAATTGCGCTGTTACTACACTCAGCCTCCTCCCTGCTGCGCTTTTGCACAGGCAGGTGCCATGGTTTGCCGCAGGCAGCTGGATACACTGGTGGGGGGGCGGTGTTGTTGGTTTCAAAACGTGGACATCGCTGGACAACCCGCTGAGCTGCATGCTCAAACTTGTTCGAGCTTATGCTTATGCGCGGACGCGAGAGAATGATGCGAGGTTGCTCCTTTTTTCAGATAGGGGCTCCCGCGTGAACAGCAGAACAGTAGGGTGCTGTTGTTTCCCGCATGTTTAAAAAGGTTTGGGTGTTCTTCTCTCCCGCGTCCCACCCGCGAAGCTCACTCACAACTCACCTCCATCCTCCCCTCCTCCTGTTCCTCTCTCCCGCCACCCACGGGGGCTACACGTACATGAGGCACGCGACCACACACAGCCGCACGCATGCACACACTCACACACACACACACACCATACAACGCCAGTGTGCGCCCAGCGTGTCGATTGTATCATACATCAAGACGAATGCGCCACATACTGGGCATCCACATGATACGCACGTCCACATACAGCCGTACACGCATCATACATCACCCACATTGAAACATTCGTCCGCATACAGCCGCACACACATCACATACATGCACAAGGCACACAAGGACACAAGACACACACACACACACACATGCAGTCACACACACACACACATGCACACACAAACACTACATACAACGCCAGTGCACGCCTGGTACGTTCACTACATCATACACCCAAGACGTATGCGCATGGTCGTCTAGGCACAGCAGGCGTGGCACTTTCTCGAAACCATACGGGGTGCGCAGGGGGTGGTCCCTCCCTCACCGCAGCCGCTACGCACGCCAGTCGTCCACACCGTAGCAGGCGTGGCATTGTCTCGACCCCACAAGGGGTGCGCACGGGGTGGTCCCCCAGCGCGGCCGCTGTGCACGCCGGGCGTCCAGGCCGAACGTACCAGAAATGGCGTTCTGGAAGGATTCAGGATTTTGCGGGCGCGACAGTTACGTTGATTCGCGGTGTTGAAATCCCAAGAATAGCGTTCTGGCACGATCCAGGATCGTCAAGACGCAACAGTCAGGTTGATACGTGGCGTTGGACTCCCGAGAACAATGTTCTGGCATGCTTCAGGGTCTTCAAGCGGTTGTCTTCCAACGAGGCAGTTCCCTCAATGGAAATGAACCTTTGTAGGGGCCTATGAAGAGGGAGCCTGGAGGGAGGGTGTACTCCAACATCGTTGGTGGCTCTTGGGTTTACACTGGTCATCCTCCTCCTCCTCCTCCTCCTCCTCCTCCTCCTCCTCCTCGCTAGCTCTGGAGCGTCTCGGGTGCCACCCAGTGAACATGCAGAGAGTATTGGGGGCCCAGACGCGAGATAGGCATCGGACGGCAGTCGGACGGCGACCAAAAAGCGGCCGCAGGGCTTTCCTTCTCCTCCTCATCCTCCTTGTCCTCCTCTTCCACATCCTCCCAAGTGACCCCCTGCATGGACACGTCGGCTCGGATTTGTGTCCCCGCAGAACTCCTGCAACAGGTCGTCCCAGGGCTCCTCTGCTTGTCGGGGGCCGTCTGGTGGGGCCCCGGGCCCCAAGACGAATCTCAGCCCAGGAGGGCCGAGAGCCCGGCTCGAAATCTGAAGCACAAGGCCCGGCTGAAACGTGAAGTCATGAACGCGCGGCTCGCTCCCGTCACCCGCCCCCTCCTCCCCCACTCCTCCACCCTTCGACCCCCCCCTCCATCCCCAGTCCCTCCATCCTCGGTCCCCCCCCCATCCTCCTTCATTAACTCTCACGCCCCCCCGTCCTCCCTTGCCCCCCCCCCCGGCCCTCCTCGCCCCTCCCGTGGAGCTCCTCCACCTGCCGCCCCGCCATGCCGTTCTAGAAAAAGAGAAAAGCCATAACCATCAACTGTTGGCACTCCGCCCACTGCTTCAGTACCCATTTCCATCGTCCTGACTCGCCTGACGCGCGGAGCGCGCCAGGGGCGGCGCTGGAGGCGCCGCCCGGGAGGCCCAGCGCGAATCCAAGAAACCCGCGCGGAGCGCCAACATTTTTGTGTTTATGGCGTTTCTTGTATTAGTATTAGTATTGATATTATTATTCGTATTACTATTATTAGTATTATTAGTAGTATTATTATTATTAGTATTATTATTATGATTACTAGTATTAGTATTAGTATTATTATTAATATTATTATGAGTTTTATTATCATTATTTGTATTATTAGTAGTAGTAATATTATTATTATAATTATTATTCGCGTTAGCGTTAGTATTATTATTAGTAGTATCATTATTCATATTAGTATTATTAGCATTGATAGTATTAGTATGTTTACTACTATTATTATTACTAGTATTATTAGTAATATTGCTATTAGCAATATTAATATTATTATTAAGTGTAAATATTAGCATTAGTAGTAGTAGCAGTAGTAGTATTATCATTATCAATATTAGTAGTAGTAGTAGTAGTAGTAGTGGTAGTAGTAGTAGTAGTAGTAGTAGTAGTCGTAGTAGTAGTAGTAGTAGTAGCAGTAGTAGTAGTAGTAGTAGTAGTAGTATTGATTTCATTCTTGTTAGTATTATTATTATTACAATTAGTAGTAGTCATATTATTGTTGTTATTATGGTTATTAGTAGTGTTATTATTATTAGTAGTAGTATTAGTATTAGTATTAGTATTAATATTAGTATCAGTATTAGTATTAGTATTAGTACTAGTATTAGTATTAGTATTTTGTATTAGTATTAGTATTAGTATCATTATTGTTATTATTATTCGACGTTCCCCCCATCCGCTGGGCCCTCCAGCGAGCAGGGAGAAGGCGAAGTCGAGTACGATGCCCGCGAGCTCGGGGCAGCGACAGCGTCAACAGGCACAGCGGGCCCCACTCCCGCCGCGCACGCTGCTGCGCCGCCTCGCCACAGCGCCCCGGCCGGGAGCAGGCATGGAGGAAGAACAACGGCAGAAGCCCAAAACTTCGGGGAACCCTGCGCGGAGGTGTTGGTTCTGCGCTGGACACCCCTCCCCGCAGGCCTGGCGCCATCCGAGAGATCCGTGCGAGGCCCCGAAAGTTCGTGTCCATACCATGTTTCGAGCCGATCATCGCCGTTGAGCGGCGCGATGACATGCTGTTGCTGCTGCTGCTGCTGCTGCTGCTGCCATCTCACTCGCATTGGACGCCCGAAATGGGTACGGAAGAAATGGGTGCGATGCCCAACAACAAATGTTGTCCACAAGCAACAGCGGCCGCTGCCGGGCAGGCGGCCTTCTGTCTCGAATGGACGACAACCGCGGCGACGGCGGCAGCTGACCCTGCCCAGAATGACCAAGAATTGCTGTTCGACTTTGTACCCATTGCTTCAGTACCCATTTCCATCGTGCTGACTCGCCCCACTGGTAGAAGGACAACAAAAATCCATAAACAGAAACTGTGGCGCTCCGCGCAGCTCTCTTGGATCTGCGCTGGACCCCCTCCCTGGCGCGCGGAGCGCGCCAGGGGCGGCGCCGGAGGCGCCACCGGGGGGGGGGGCCAGCGCGGAGCCAAGAAATCCGCGCGGAGCGCCGAGAACTTATGTTTATGGTGTTGTTGCTTGTTGTGTTTAAGTTTATGGTATAGTTATGAGTCATGGCGTTTTATGTGTATGGCGCTTGTTAGCCATGTTAAACAGTTTATGTGTACGGCGTTTGTTTGTCATCCTAAGCAGCTGATGGTTATGTGTGTTTATGGTTGAAATTATGTTTATGTGTACGGCTGAGTCTATGCTTATGGTTGTGTGTATGTTTGTGCTTCATGGCGTGTAAATGTCTGTTTATGTTTATGGTATGTGCTTGTGTATGGTGCTTATGTTCCAAAAGTTTGAAGCGTATGTTCACGGCGTGTTTCTGTTAATCGAGACTCGCCCCTCTTCGGGGGGTGCTACAAAGGTGTCCCTTTAGCCCAAGGTGCCCTAGCTTTTCGCTCAACTTTTGGTGCCCTTGGGGTCTCGTGAGGGGTGCTCTGGAGGCCGTGGGGTCCTCCTTGGAGGAGGGGGAGGAGGACGGGGGAGGAGGAGGAGGAGGAGGAGGAGGAGGAGGAAGGAGGAAGGAGGAAGAGGAGGAGGAGGAGGGAGGAGGAGGGGCGGGGGGAGGGAGGAGAAGGAGGGAGGAGGAGGAGGGAGGAGGGAGGTGGGAGGGGGAGAAGGGAGGGAGGGAGGAGGGAGGAGAAAGGGAGGAGGGGAGGGAGGAGGGAGGGGGGAGGGAGGAAGGGAGGGGGAGGAGGAGGAGGAGGAGAAGGAGGAGGAGGAGGAGGAGGAGGAGGAGGAGGAAATCCTGGGGACATCTTGGGCCAGGGGCACTTCTGGCAACCCCCGGACCTCTGGGCGGGCGAGGTCGGGCGCGGACAGCCCGCCGGCCGAGGAGCCGCCGGGCCGTGCCGCGTGCGCGCGGGCGGCGAGCCGCAGGCGGCGCCACGGCGGGGAGGCGCGGCACACCGCGGCAGGGCTGAACCTGCACGGTGCTTTTCGTTTTCGTGTTCGCTTTCGGTTTTCCCTCGCTTTTGCCTCGAGTCCGCCTTCATCGCGAAACGAGGTCGAAACGAGAACGGCCCACGAGATCGCCAAGAGCACCGCTTCAGTAGGCCCGGCCCTGCGCCGCGGGCCCCTGCCGGCGCTGGATGTCTCTCGCGCCGGCGAGGCCGAGGCGGGGTGCATGGGACGACGGAGGCGACGACGGACGCAGACGACGACTCGAACAGCCAGGCCCCTCATCACCACCCCAACCCGAAAGCCCAAATTTGTCCTCGATTTCCAGTGGGGGGGGGGTCGGGGAACAGTGAAAAAACACATGGAACCCATACCCCCCCAACCCGAAATTCGATTCAAATTCGGGTCTTCGGGTTGGGTTGGGGTGGTCTGGTAGGTAGTCACCTCACGCACGCCGACGGGGCCGGCGGAGTCCTCTCACCAGGCGAGCGGGCCCCAATGCCGCCCTGGCCGGCGTCTGGCCGCCCGTCGCTGCCCGTGGCCGCCGGCCTGTGTTCCTGCCCGCGGACCCTCGAGGGGAGCATCCCGGAGAGGCCCTGGGCGCGGACCCCCGCCGGCGGCGGCGCTCCTCGGCGAGGCAGCCGCCGAGGTGCCGCTCGAGCTCCCCGACCGCGTCCTCCGGGCTCTTCGATCGAGAGGAGCTCGATCGAAGAGCCCGGAGGACGCGGTCGGGGGCCGGAGAGGCCCTGGGCGCGGACCCCTGCCGCGCGCTCCTCGGGGAGGGTGCCGCCGAGGTTCCGCTCGAGCTTCCCGACCACGTTCGGGTAAGGGATCGACTACAGAATGGATTTACCCCAAAGTGAACTTTCTCGTGGAGCCCACAAAAAAATGCGTGGAGCAGTCAGCAGACCTACGGAGCACTGTAGGTATGCTTCGTAGATTCGACGGTAAATCGATTTTGGGCTAAACCGATCCTGTAGTCCTTTCCCTCCCCGACCACGTCCTCCGGACTCTTCGATCGAGCTCCTCGATCGAGCTCGACGGAGGTCCCGATCGAGCTCCTCGAGCCGCGGCATCGCCCGCCGCGTGCAGCGCCTGCTGGCGGCGTCGCCGCGTCCTCCCACGCCCCCCCATGGTGGTGGACGTGGCGTGGGCCGTCCGACCCCCCTTGGCGGTGGACCGCGCATTGCGCAACGATGGGCAGCGACGGCAGATCGCTCACTGGTAATGAGGCCCTCCCCATTCACAATTACTCAATATGAATACTACTCTCCCTCTTCCCCTGATGGCGTCCAGGGAATAGTCGACCCCCCCGCGTACGGTTTTTTTACACACAAGATTCCCGGGAGTTGGGTTTTCGCCTGCGTTTTTTCAAAATGCTGCTCTCGCTGAGCCGCCGGCCTCATTTCTGCTCCCGAATCGTTCCGAATCGTGCTCCCGCTGCAGCGTGGGCCTCATTTTCGGATCGGTGTTTTGCCTCCGTCGTTCCGGATGGCGTTCTCGCCCCAGCGCGGGCCTCTTTCTCGCGCGCCCATCCGCCCGCCACCACCGCGCCGCACCACGCCCCGCCCCGCCGCACGCACACCCACCGCCACTTCCACCCACCAACGCACGCACGCACGCACGCGCACCACCACCGCGCACCGCCACCACCACCGCACTACCCCACCCACCACCACCACGCTACACCGCGTCACACCACATCACACGCGCGCACACACAGACACACACGCACGCACGCACGCACGCACGCACGCACCACGCACGCACGCACGCACACACACACACACACACACACACACACACATACACACGCACACCACACACACACACACACACACACACTCACACACACAACACACGCACACACACACAGGCACCACACACACACACACACACCGCCACACCCCACCACACAATCACGCCTCACGAACTACGCACCAACCCACCAAGTGCACACCACGTCACACCACACACACACGCACACACACGCGCACACACGCACACACACACACACACATACACACCACCACCACAACAACCACAACCACGCACACACGCACGCACGCACGCGCACCACCACCCACTACGCACACGCGCGCGGAGCCACAGGTCCGCTACGACACGCGTCCGCGGATAGAGAAAATCAGCGCCATGGTAAGGGCTGGGAGGGAGGGGTAGGATGTCAGATGTTGGCGCAAGCGCACCTAACTTGCCTCCCGCCCCTCCCTCCCTCCCCTCGATCGCCCACCCTTCCCCTCCCGTCGCTCACCCGTCCTCGCCATTTTCTCATTCCCGCCCCCTCCCCCTCCCCTACCACTCCCATCCCCTCATTGCCCCCCCCCCTCATGATGCATCCGCTCCCACCTAACCCATTCTCCCTTCCCTTCCCACACACCCCTCTCGTCCTCTGAGACCCTTCTGGCCCGGCTTTCCAACAGGCCGCGGTCCTCACCGCGATCTCCCCGCGGTTCGCGATGAGAACCTCGAGGCTGGGGCGACGAACCGCAGGAGAGCGGGAGGAGGAAGAGGAGGGGAGGGGAGGGGAGAAGGGCGAGGAGGAGGCGCGGGGAGGGGAGAGGGAACGAGGAGGAGAAGGAGGCGGCGCGAGGAGGAGGAGGAGGCGCGAGGAGGAGGCGCGGGGAGCAAGGGGAGGAAAAGGGCGAGGGGAGGGGAGGAGGGAACGAGGGAGAAGGACAAGCGAGGTGCGCCAGCGCAACGTCTGACGCCCGGAACCTTCACCTCCGCCCCCCGCGACTGCAGAGACGTGCCCCCCGTCCGCCGACGGACGCCCCCGCGGGCCGGGAAGCCCGAGCCTGCCCCCCCTTTATCGCGGCGTGCGCAATCAGAGAGGGGAGCTGTGAACACAGGAGGAGGACGAAAGGAGGAGGACGAGGAGGAGGAGGAGGAGGAGGCGGAGGAGGAGGAGGAGGTGGCGGATGAGCAGGACGATGAGCAGCAGGACGACGGGGAGGATGAGGAAGGAGGAGGAAGGAGGAGGAGGAGCAGCAGGAGCAGGAGCAGGAGCAGGAGGGGCGGGAGGAACTGGAGGACTGAAGGAAGGCGGAGGAGGGGAACGGGGGAGGGGGGCGACAACGGCGAAGCAGGACCCAGGCCCCGAAGTGTGGTGGCCCCAGGCGCGGGGCGAGAGCGCCATTGTCAACGATGGGAGCACAGCGCCGATCCTGAAATTGGGCCCATGCTTCAGCGGGAATTCCAAGTTCGAAAGCACTGAAAACTGCCCGGTTGACAAACAGACCTGCAGAACAGCATACGCGGAGCGCAGGATCCCCAAGCAGCGCTCACAGAACGCACGATGGCTCCCCCTCGTGCTTGTGCGTATACGCCGCGCGGGAGAACACGGTGCTCATATATGGTCCAGGGTCTGGGGCCCCCCCCCGTCCCCCCCCCAATGGGTATGCCATCGGGCCCCCACCCCCCGATGGGTCCCTCCCCCCCCATGTGGATGTGGTGTGGGTGTGGTGTGCTGCTGTGGGTGTGTGTGCGGGGTGGCGCCACGGTCCTCCCTCCTCCCCCAGCCCTCCCCCCCCTTGTGGGTGCGGGGTGGGTGTGGCGTGCGACTGTGATTGGCGTAATGTTGACAGCCCTGGTGCTCGGCGTCGTCGCCGCCGCCGCTGGTGGTGCCGTCGACGTCGGCATCGTTGCCGACGTCGTCGTCGTCGTCGTCGTCGTCGTCGTCGTCGTCGTCGTCGTCGTCGTCGTCGTCGTCGTCGTCGTCGTCGTCGTCGTCGTCGTCGTCGTCGTCGTCGTCGTCGTCGTCGTCGTCGTCGTCGTCGTCGTCGTCGTCGTCGTCGTCGTCGTCCCCACACTCCCATCTGAGGGGGGAGGGGGGCTTGTGAAACCCTGGGGCCCATCCCATCTGGGGGGAGGGGGGGGGCTTGTGAACCCTGGACCCGGGATCATATATAACGGGATTGTACCAGGTTGTGTGCCACATCGCTTGTCGTGCGCCCTCGTTCATGCCTAGTTTTGCTTTCGCCAAGGTGGCGCAGTGCGTCCCTCCTCCATCCTCCTCATCCTGCTCCTCCTGCTCCTCCTCCTACCCCCCCTCGTCCCCCTCCTCCTCCTCCTCCTTCCTCCTATCCTCCTCCTCCCTCTCCTCCTCCTCATCCTCATCCTCCTCCTCCTCCTCCTCCTCCTCCTCCTCCTCCTCCTTATATTTCTCCTCATCCTCCTCCTCCTACTCCTCCTCATTGGATCGGCGCTTCACCCACCTGGTCGGGGAGTACCTCCCTGTTCGGGACTGCCACAGGCGTCGCCAAGGCGGCATACACGGAGGAGCAACAAGAAACAAGCGTGAGGAAGATGTGATAGAGGGGCGCCGACTGTCGGGTGGACGTTCCACCAGCGTCAGCGTCGTTGGAGGGGGCGTGTCCGGCAGTCCCGAAGGGCGTAATCGTTTCGGCTCCTGCTGCACTCGAACCCCCGTCAAAATCACGCATCATTGGGACTACCCTCTTGTCTCCACAGACATGCAAGGTCCAGGGGGCCTCGTGCGATAGAGTACTGAATGTACACGCGTGAACGCGAAAATCATGCTAAACCCAGAGGCGTCACGCCCAGCCATTCGCCAGCGTGGCAGCGCGGGCCCCTGCATCTCTCATTCGGACAGCGGGGCGGGCCGCTGGAGCGACGCTGGGCGGACATCTCATCCCGCGGACACATTCCTTCGCTTCGTACGACGCCGTGGTGCGTCGCGTCGCACGAGGCAAAGAAAGAAGTGCCCCCGGATGAGATCGAGACACACAAACCGTATACACACCGTGTACAAACCGTGACGTCGGATGCCTGGAGAGAGGGCGGAAGGCGGAAGGCGCGCAAAGGCGGGAGCTCCGGCAGCAGAAAATTGACGGAGACGGCGACGACGACGCGGGGGCCTGAGGCGCAGCAGGGGGGAGGCGGGAGGCGGGAGGAAGCAGGCGAGAGGCGAGGTGTGGGCGGCGGGAGGAGGGATGATAGATGTTTCTGACTATTGGAGGCCGTGGGCTACAAAACGTACCAGGCGAAGCGTACTAGACCAGATCGCGCGCAGCATCTCGAAACCCCAAGACGTGAGGATGTCTCAGGCGAATCGGCCCGGACCACCTCGCGAGCATCATCTCGGAGCTCAGAATTGGAGGAAGGTCTCAAGCGAAACGGGCCGGACTGGGAAACGAGAGATGTAAGGATGTCTAAGGCGAAACGGGCTGGACCACTTCGCGCGCAACATCTGGGAGCTCAGAGTTGCGAGGATGTCTCTAACGGCGCTGTCCCCTCCTCAGGATGTATCAGGCGCTTCGAACCCTAATGAGACAACACAATCAGTCAGGAACCGTGCCTCGACGGCACATCGGTTGCAGATCACGTGCATGAGCGTACGTACAGCAGCACACTTAAGTCAGGAGTGGTGTAGAAATCTGCCCACTCGCGCCCAGCCCCGCCTGGAAGCCCGCACGGTGGACGACCCGGGAAAGCAACATCGGGAGCGGCCAAGAGGGGGGTGTCCGAGAGGGGGGGGCGCAAATCATGACCGGCGGCACGTGCGCGGCCCAGCGGGCGGGCCAGGGACGCAATGAAATAAGAAGAGGCGCCATGAAATCTGAGAAATATCATGGCCCCCGCCATGATATCCACCCCCCCCTAGTCACCACCCCCCTCTCTTCCGCCCCCGAGACGTCAGGAGTGGTGTCGAAATCTGCCCATTCGCGCCCGGCCCCGCCTGGAAGCCCGCACGGTGGACGACCCGGGAAAGCAGCAGCAGCACGGGGCAGAGGAGGGAGCGACACCGGGGGGGCCAGGACGAGCCCAGGAGCCGGGGGGAGGGAGGAGAGCGCGCGACGGGACGGCACCCGGAAGGAGGGGGGGCGGGAGCGTGAAGCCCGGGCGACCGCCCGAGGGACGAGCGGGAGGCAAAGCAGGCAGAGGAACGACGCAGGACGGCGCATGAGGGGACGACGACACTCGGGTCGGGCGAAAGGGGGGGATAGCAAAAGGGGGGGTTCGATAATCAGCTAACGTAGCTGATTTTCCCGGCGCCTCCCGGCGCCAGAAGCGGCTATGTATCGAGGAATGGGCCCCTTGGTGAGGCCGAAACCAGATGCATGCAGCAAATTTCGCAACCCCCCCTTTCCCAATCCCCCCCTTTCGCCCGGCCCGAGACACCACTAAGAGGGCAGGCTGACGAGGAACGTGGGGCCAAGCCGGAGCTTTTACAAAAAAACTTCCCTTCAGGCAAGTGATACACATTGCACCCCCAAGGCGCCTGGCTGGTTTGGAAATTAAGTCGAACAGTACCTCACCGCTTCCTCTTTCCAGCTTGGCGATTGAACATGCCCTGTTCGAACGTTTGTCGGGCGGTCTCTTCTTGGCTCACGGCCCCGCCGCGCAATCACGCTGCAATAGTGAGAGCGTGAGCGTGCATGACCGAAACCCACTGTAATCTGGGATGCCCTCTGCGGCGTTTCCCGGGATCGAGAAGAGGCGAATTCCCGCTCTGGAAAACAGTCTGGCGAGGCAGCGACTCGTCGGGCATGGCGGACAGCTCTCCATAGTCCAACAATTTCTTGGCCAGCACTTGCCAGCTTAAACATTTCCGGTTTGCTCTGCCTCGAACTTCTGCGTTGCTAACACGTGAAATCATGATATGTGCAATGTTAAAATCGTACGTGAACACTGCGCTTCAAACGAGTCGATCTGAACTCGGTCCGACGTGCGCAATCAAAGTGTTTGAGGCTGTGCGTAAGTTTGGAAGCGACGCAGGTGTTGAAAAAGTTGACCTTTTTCTGGCCCTGCTTATGTTGGCATGCATCCAAAAGGTTTGCAGCACATCGAAAGACGCGCGGGCTTCAACGACCCGGCGGGCGACTGAGGCCCCTGTTTTCCCGTCGGCCCGGAGGAGGCTGCCCAGGTAGACGGCCGACGTGACCGTCTTGAGCGGCATGCCCTGCGGCGCGTGGATGTCCATGGCGTGCCGAATGCGCAAACGCACGGTCTTGTCCCAGTTGTGCTCCAGCCCGTACACGCGAGCCTTGAAGATCAGCCTGTCCAAGAAGAACTGCAGCCTGTCGATGTCGTTCGACACGAGCGCCGTGTCGTCGGCGTAAGCCACGTCGGCATAGAGAAAATCACCTTGCGCACATCCGAACTGCGAAATAACGTCCTGTTCAACATCCCCCACCAGCACGCTCAACATGATGATGAACAAAGACGGACTCAGGGAGCACCCTCGTCCGATGTCGGAGGACTGCGCGCGCCGGTTGCTGCTGCCATGCTCGTATATCACCTCGAACGTACGACCATCGTATATGGCCGTAATCATATTGATGCACGGGTCGGATAGGCCAAACCTGGCAAGAGCCATCAGCAGAGCGGCGGGGACCACCCGGTCGAACGCCTTAGACCAGTCGAGCAAGACGGCCGAAAGCTTGTTGTCTTTCACGGCCCGCATGTGCTCGATGCATCTATGGGGTCCCTGGCGCCCCGCTTCAACTCTGAATCCAAACTGGCTCGGCCGAAGGCGTTCCACAGCACCGCCATCTGAAATTCTGTTCAGCAGAAGAGCAGCCAGGATCTTGTAGCTCACCGCCAGCAGGGAAATTGGTCTGTAGCTGGCCGACAGAGACTCGTCCCCATTCTTGTAAATCGCGATGACCCTAATTTCTATGCCGCCACGTATGCGGCACCCGTGTCTGCTGCCAGCAATGGTGAGGCAACTCCAAGAGAGCAACACACGCGTCGTCATTGCAGCAAAGGGCTTTCCAGAAATCGGGCGGGATGTTGTCTGGTCCGGCTGCTTCCCTTGCTGCTGGTAGATTGCTGAACACGGCGCGCAGCTCGGCTGCAGTGAAGTCTTCCGCCGGGACGTCAAAGTCCCGCGCGCATCTCTGTCCACGCTGGAGGGGTCGCGATGGTGCGGGCAGGGACCACTGCATGTCAGACAGGTGCGTTGCCGGTCTCAGCCTGCCCTGGGGCTTCACCCCTGTCGTCTTGAATCGCCGAACGCTCTGCCAGCTTCCGTTCGCGAACATGTCGCCCAACCAGGCCGCTCTGTCTTTGCGGGCGGACTGGCGAAACTGGCGGTTGAACTCATTCTCTACGACGAACTGGCCACGATGTCCGAGCTAGGTTCTGCAGCTCAACAAACAACATAACAATAATCAGCTGGTTCGTATGGGTTCCTCCGCTGGTCCTCGTAGTGCGTTCGATGGCCCTGGTAGGAATGCCCGTGGTGTTCGTAGCTCAGCGCGCGGCCCCCCCGTAGCTCAGTCGGTGGCCCTCGTGGCTCGGCTGGTGGCTCTCGCAGCTCTGCCCGTGACCCGCGCAGCTCAGCTTGTGACCCTCGCAACTCCGATGGTGGCTCCCGCAGCTAAGCCCGTGGCGAAGGTAGCCATGCTGGTGGCTCTCGAGGCTCTGCCTGCGGCCGCACCGCGGGTGGTCCCCCGTCGTCGTAGCTGCCTCCGTCGCAGGTGAAGTCCATCTCGCCGACCAGGCCTGGCAAGGTCTGCGAGTCAGGAAACTGGGCGGAGTTGAGCTCGTCGTCGGGCTCCCGGTAACCATCGTGCTCTCAAGCGTGCGGCTCAAGGACAAAGGGAGAAGCGTCAGGGCTCCAACCGAAACGTCTGTACTCCTTCTTCTCCAACCCCACCTCACCCGCCCCCTCCACTTCCTCCTCCTTTTCTGATTTGTCGGGCACCTTGGGCCAGCGCGCGGAGGACACCATAATGAAGGCGGCCGTGGCGATTGACAGGACGTCGCCGGGCTGCGGTTGTAGCCCGTGTCGGATGCATTACCCCGCGCGCTTTCGAGTCGCATATAACTCGGGCAGATGTCCTCCCCGTCTTGCTTGGTCTCAGCATGGTTGTCGTCATACCTCCACGCAGCGCGAGGGATCTCGTAAGCCTTGGTTTCGAAGGATCTCGAGGCACTGCGCGTCGATGTTGATGATGTTCGCGTGAATTTGGACGTGTACATATACATATATATATATATATATACATATATATGTACATATATATATGTAGATCACGCGCGCAGAACTTGGAGATGCTCCCGTGGATCGTAGTGCAGTTCACATGTCCACCACGTGGCGGGCGTATCGCACGGCGCGCCGTCCGCCACGTGGTGGACAGCGCGCGCGGGCCGGCCCCCCTCCCGCGGGTGGTGGGGAGCAGCCCCCCGCAGGCGCCAGAGTGGCCCTCCTTCTCTCCCGCCCTCCCCCTCCCTCCTCCTCCTCCTCCCTCCTCCTCCTCCTCCTCCTCCTCATCATCATCATCATCATCATCATCATCATCATCATCATCATCATCATCATCATCATCATCCTCATCATCATCATCCGGACCATCACCATCATCATCATCATCATCATCCTCATCATCATCATCATCAGCAGCAGCCATCATCATCATCATCACCACCACCACCACCACCACCATCATCATCATCATCATCATCATCATTAGCATCATCAACATCACCATCATCATCATCACCACCATCATCATCATCACCATCATCATCACCATCATCAACATCATTACCATCGCCATCCTCCTCCTCATCATCACCACCATCAACATCATCAACAACATCAGCACCCTTATCATCGTCATCATCATGATCGTCATCATTATCATTTTCAGCATAATCATCATCAGCATGGTCGTCATCATCATCACCAGCGGCATCACAATCATGATGACCATCATCATCATCATCAGCATCATCATCATCAGAAGCAGCAGCATCGGAATCATCATCATCATCAGCATCATCATCACTAGCAGCAGAAGCAGCAGCATCACCATCGAAGTCCACATCAACATCAACATCAAGATCAACAGCATCATCATCACCATCATCAAACTTATCATCATCATCATCGTCCTCATCCTCATCCTCATCCTCATCAGAATCACCATCATCAGCATCGTCATCATACTCATCAGCATCGTCATCAGAATCGCCATCATCACCATAACCAGCATCATAGTCACAATCATCATCATTATCACATCCATCATTATCATCAAGATCACCATCACCGTCGTCATTATCATCATTATCAGCATCACCAGCATCGTCATCCGCATCATCATCATCATAAGAATCGCCATCACCATCATCACCATCGTCATCATCACCATCGTCGTCGTCATCAGAATCATCCGCATCGTCATCATCACCATCATCATCATCATCATCATCATCATCATCATCATCATCATCATCATCATCATCATCATTACCAGCTGCATCCTCATCCTCATCCTCATCCTCATCTTCGTCCGCATCCCCATCCCCATCCCCGTCCTGGATACTCATCCTCATCCTCATCCTCATCCTCCCACCCTCCCTCCCTCCCACTCCCTCCTTCCCTCCCTCCCTCCCTCCCCCCCTGCACTCTCCGCCTTTCCTTCCCCTGCCCCCCCCCCCCCCGCGGGAGCCTTGGAGAACGGCAAAGATGCCGCCGCCACGCCGCACGCACCCAGGCGCCCGCCAGCGCGCGGGGCGCCTGGCCTTGCGCAGAAGGGAAGGGGGGAAAGTAAGAAGAAGAAGAAGAAAAAGAAGAAGAAGAAGAAGAAGAAGAGGAAGAAGAAAAAGAAAAAAACAGCAACAACAACAAATGATGATCATGATGATGATGATGATGAGGAGGAGGAGGAGGATGATGATGATGCTTACTCCTCCTCCTCCTTATCCTCCACCTCCTCCTCCTCCTTCTTCCAATTCATTGAGACGCCGAGCCCTCGGCACTCAGGAATCACGCTCTCGCTTTGACCTCCCTCGCGACTTACTTGGGGATCGCGCTATCGCTCGATATTTCCTCGCGGTTCTTGCAGGGCGCACGCTTCAGCAACCCGCATGCTCGACCTGGCCGCCTGGGCCCGCCTTCCCGACCCGCCTGTTAAGGTCTACCCGCCCGATCTGCCCGCCTGGTCCTGCCACATGTTTTCTGCTCCTAACTCCCTTCCTTTTCTGGGGGGCTGGCTTCCCAACCACTCCGCTTCCGGGGGGCCGGATTATGGACACTGGCGTTCCCTCGGCTATTTGCGGCACAGCCGGTAAAACCCGTGGCTGGTCATGGCCCAACCGGCAAGGCCCACGGCTGCTATGGCGCAAATCGTAACGCCCACGCTTTTCGAGATAGAACCGGCGAAGCCTTCACTACCGCGCCCCGCGGCCCAGCGGCCTCCCGGGGAGGGCCCGCAGGAGGAGCAGCAGCTGTAGCCTTCTCGAAGCCGAGGAAGGCTACATGAGCCTGCGGCACGGTGTTCGACAACGGCTCCAACTCTTCCCCCTGCGCTTGTTGCTTCGATTGCTTGTTCCTCTTACCCCTTCCTTTCTCTTCCTCCTCCTCCTCCTCCTCCTCCTCCTCCTCGACTCTTCCGTTTCGCGAACCTTTTCGTCCTCCTCCTTCTTCCCCTCCTTCCCCTCATTTCCCTACCCCTCCTTCTCCTTCTCTACTTCCTCCTCTAATGTCAACTTCCTCCTCATCCTGCTCTTCACTCGGCTTCCACATCAATACCCGCACCTCCCCCCAAACCTTCCGTGTTCCCTTTCCGTTCCAGCTCCTGCTCCTCCTCGCCTTTCCTCCGCAATTTCCTGATTCACTCCTCATGCTCCTCCTCCTCCTCCTCCTCCTCGTCGCCTCCTCCTCCTGTTCCTGAGAACCTCGTCCTGGGCCGCTGTGGAGCGTGACGGCGGGGGGCGCGCGTTCCTGCTCCAGTTCCTGTTATTTGCCCTTCCTCCTGTTCCTGCTGCAATTCCTGGGGACCTCTTGCCGGGGGGATCTCCCAACCTCTGATGGGCCGATGTTCCACCACCACTACCATACGCAGGAAAGGGAGGCGTGAGAGGAGGAGGAGGAGGAGGAACGGTGGAAGAGGAGGAGGAGGAAGATCTCCCCATCTTCCCTTCTCCCGCGTCCTACCCATGGTAGTGGTGGTGAATAACTGCCCCATCAAACCTCCAAGTGGAAGCAAATGTACAGAGATGGTCTCCATCCGCTTCTCGCCTGGGCTGCTGGGCGCGACTCTGGAGTCCACAAGGAGCCGCGAAAAGGATGCAAGGGCCTGGGAAGGCCATGCCAACACTGTTCGAGCGGGGCGGCGTCGACAAGAGCGAGTGGCCTAAGATGGGACGAAGGGGAAGGATGCAAGGGAAACCTTGAAAGGTCGCCCGTCCTTACTATCAGTGTTAACTGTAGTCGAGGCGAGGCGAGGCGAGGCGAGGCGCCGCTCAGTCGTCCGGGGGGGGACGGCCCTACGAGAGCCCGGCGGAGGCGCCGGAGCCTTGGACGTCGTGTTTTCTCTGGACGTCGTGTTTGCTGTACTCCGGGACCTTGGACGTCGTGTTTTCTCTGGGTACGTGGCCGCTGGCCCTCAAGCCTCTCGACCCACATCGTCCGGAAACAGCGTTCGCCCCACATCGCTGGGCGATGGGATGGCCCTGGCGCGGGAGGACGGCCCCTAGAAGTCGAAGGGTGCCGAAAAGATGTTTCGATGCTGCTTCCAAAGCGTTGGAACTCTCGGGCACAGTCAGAACCCGAGGTATTCCTGGCTGATCCTCGAACCTCCGGGAGGAGGAGCCGGTCGTGGGCCAGCTGGCCCGGCACGAGCTGTCTGTGCACAGCACTGCGGCCTCACACTCCGCCTCTGCAGATCTCCGTTCCAACATCTTGAAAACATCGATACAGCTTCTGCTTGCCCCGCTTTCGGTTACCAGGGAGCGTTTTAGTCATTTGCCAAGCATATCCATATTAGTGCAACATACAATGCATTCTTTGTACACCCGCCTCAGGCTCGCCTGGCAACGGCTATGCCGCGCCAGGGTCGCCGAGAAGCAGTTGACTGCGCAACTTCCTTTGGTCTCCTTTCTGGTCTAGGACTGAGTATGCCAACTCTTTCGGGCACCCCTGGTCCAGTCCGTCTCCAGCGTTTCGGTGTGTGGTTGGCTATCCTCGTCAGGACCTGCCATAACCAACCACACGGGGCAGGCCGACGCTGTCGCGAACGACACTTCTGTTTCCGACTGTGCGAAAGCACCACGCGTACCTCTTGAATGCAAAGATACACTGTGTCTGTTTGTATTATGGGACTCCTTCGTACACACCAAAATTGCCAGAAGATGTCAAGCCAGGCTATGAGAACCTGCTGCTTCGGCCTTCAAAGAAGGGAAGAAGCAACCGCCCCCTCTTTCGTGACACCGCCGGCAACCGCAGCTAAGCCGGGCAGTTGTCCCCTTTTTCTTGAGCGGACGCTAGCCACGGCCCAGGGGTGTGAGCCACCCGACCCCTGCGTTAGGCGCTCGTGAATAATCAGAGCGCACCTGCGAAGCCCCCTTTTGGGTAAAGCCACCAATGCTACCTTTCTGACTGTTGGGAAGAAGGCCGCACCACCGAAGACGAGTTCCTGGAGAGACTTTCGGCTGACAACCAGTCACTTGCCAAGCATATCCATATTAGTGCAACATACAAGGCATTATTTGTACACCCGCCTCAGGCTCGCCTGGCAACGGCTATGCCGCGCCAGGGTCGCCGAGAAGCAGTTGACTGCGCAACTTCCTTTGGTCTCCTTTCTGGTCTAGGACTGAGTATGCCAACTCTTTCGGGCACCCCTGGACCAGTGGACCTGCCATAACCAACCACACGGGGCAGGCCGACGCTGTCGCGAACGACACTTCTGTTTCCGACTGTGCGAAAGCACCACGCGTACCTCTTGAACGCAAAGATACACTGTGTCTGGTTGTATTCTGGGACTCCTTCGTACACACCAAAATTGCCAGAAGATGTCAAGCCAGGCTCTGAGAACCTGCTGCTTCGGCATTCAAAGAAGGGAGGAAGCAACCGCCCCCTCTTTCGTGACACCGCCGGCAACCGCAGCTAAGCCGGGCAGTTGTCCCCTTTTTCTTGAGCGGACGCTAGCCACGGCCCAGGGGTGTGAGCCACCCGACCCCTGCGTTAGGCGCTCGTGAATAATCAGAGCGCACCTGCGAAGCCCCCTTTTGGGTAAAGCCACCAATGCTACCTTTCTGACTGTTGGGAAGAAGGCCGCACCACCGAAGACGAGTTCCTGGAGAGACTTTCGGCTGACAACCAGTCACTTGCCAAGCATATCCATATTAGTGCAACATACAAGGCATTCTTTGTACACCCGCCTCAGGCTCGCCTGGCAACGGCTATGCCGCGCCAGGGTCGCCGAGAAGCAGTTGACTGCGCAACTTCCTTTGGTCTCCTTTCTGGTCTAGGACTGAGTATGCCAACTCTTTCGGGCACCCCTGGACCAGTGGACCTGCCATAACCAACCACACGGGGCAGGCCGACGCTGTCGCGAACGACACTTCTGTTTCCGACTGTGCGAAAGCACCACGCGTACCTCTTGAACGCAAAGATACACTGTGTCTGGTTGTATTCTGGGACTCCTTCGTACACACCAAAATTGCCAGAAGATGTCAAGCCAGGCTCTGAGAACCTGCTGCTTCGGCCTTCAAAGAAGGGAGGACACAACTGTTGTCCCTGTGGACCCATCAATAAAAAAATCGAACGGGCTGATTGCCACGAGTTAGAAAATTACGTGAGCCCCAGAGCTCTTGATTCTTACCGTCTCATGCGGGTTGCGCAGGTCCGGGAACCCGAAAAGGAGAGCCCCAGACAGCGAAATGACCCATCTAAAATACGACAGCGGTGATCTTTGATTTCGCGACGTTGGATGCCTGCGATCCTCTTCCTCCTTCTCCTCGTCCTCGTCCTCGTCCTCGTCCTCATCCTCCTCCGATCCCCCTGCCCCATGCCTGCGATACTCCTCCGCCTCCTCCTCCTCCTCAGCCTACCCCTCCTCCGCCTCCTCCTCCAGCTTCTGCACATCAGTGCGACCCGACGATTCAAGGCAAATTTCAATGGCCATGCACCATACAGCATTACAGGCATGACGACCATGAGCAAAGCGCTCGTGTAAAAATGTGTGCCCACTGCCATCTGGAAGGGCCACCTGCACAAAGGGGGGGGACTGGGGAGTGAGCCTGACCGTGACTACCTACCAGACCACCCCAACCCAACCCGAAGACCCGAATTTGACCCGAATTTCGGGTTGGGGGGGGTACGGATACCATGTGTTTTTTCAACGCTCCCCGACCCCCCCCCCACTGGAAATCGAGGAGCAATTTGGGCCTTCGGGTTGGGTTGGGGTGGTTTGGTGGGTGGTGAGACCGTGAGTGCGTTGGACGGCCGAGCTCGACACGGGGCTTGTCCACAGGCCCGAATCGTGGAAACGACCAGGGAAACGAACGGACGACAGCTGGCAACCTCAGAAAACTCCTCGGAAGCCAGCGTTGACGACCATGAGCAAAGCGCTCGTGTAAAAATGTGTGCCCATTGCCATCTGGAAGGGCCACCTGCACCGTGAGTGAGTTGGACGGCCGAGCTCGACACAGGGCTTGTCCACGGCCCGAAGCGTGGAAACGACCAGGGAAGCGAACGGACTGACTACCTACCAGACCACCCCAGCCCAACCCGAAGACCC